TAAACATATAGCAGTCTACAACCATTCAAATAGATCTACAGATTACTAAGCATAACATCATCCTATGTGCCAGAATACCGATCTAACAGATCACTATAGTGCAATAGCATGCATAATAGGATGCCAATCCAATGGGTCGGCATTGGTGTCTTCGACTTGTAAGTACAATGAGGAAAACTCACCTCACAAATTAAAAATAACTGATGAGGCCCGACTCCGAATCTCATCTCTTTAAATGATACCCATTTCCACCAAATGACCAATACCATTAAAATACCATAATACACAAAATGCCCTCAAGGTCAAACTTGGTTAAAGTCAACTGGTCAAACCCACTAAGTCAACCGAGTCAACCCAACATAGTCAAATCAACTGAGTCAACTCAACAAGGCTTTCCCATGTGAGTACATGGGTGTACTTCGTAGGTACGCTTAGCGTACATGATGCCTCCCAGAAGACCACCATCAGGGTAGTTGACTGAGTACGCGGGGTGTACTCCGACTTACATGGGGCGTAACCTTGTAAACCCCAAAATTTCATTAAGTGCTTAATGGCTTAAGCACTTGTGTCCATACTTCATATCTATAGTCCAAATGCTCCCTAAAGTCATAAAGTTTCCAACTTTATGAGTTTACAAATCCGAAAAGTGCTTAACATAAGGTCTTAATCCATTAAGACCTTCTACAAGATGCATGGAAGATTTCTAGCAAATAGGACCTCATTTTTATGGCTTAGCACCCCTATTAGGGTCTAGAAGGACAACCCAAATGACAATAACCAACCATGCATAAAATGGGAGCTTTGGGGCAAGAAAAGCAACATAAAACACCCAAAAATGGGACCTAACAAATAAGACATCAAGATATAAAATTTATACCATTTGGATCTTCTCAAGAAGGAAAATATCCTAGATCTACAAGCTTGCTTCCACTTTAAGGCTCCTTGATGCAACTTCTTGTTGCTTAACACACCAAAAACACACTCTTGAACTCAAAACACACTAAGGGGGATAGGGTTTGCAAAAATGCCTTAAATGTTGTGCAGGCTGAAAAGGTGGGCAAAATGAGCCATAATGTTGCTTATATACAACCTAAACCCTAAAAATTAAGGTTTCCTCCTGACATTGGTACGCCCCGCATACATAAATGTACGCCCAGCGTACAAACATGTACTCTTGGGGTACTCCTTCTACCCGATTTATGAAATTGCCACTAGGGATTCAAAGCATAATTCTTGGACTTAGGGACCAATTTGACATGAAATAGATATATAGGGATGAATTTCGAAGTACCTGAACATTGGGATGTTACAATGGGTATATAAGATTAAATACAAACCTAACGGGGAGGGTGAAAGGTATAAGGATAGACTGGTTGCTAAAGGCTATAATCAGAGGGAAGGTATAGATTATTAGGAGACTTTTTCTCCCGTGGCAATGATCGTTATTTTTCGTATTGTTATTTTCTTATTTATTAATAGGTCTTGGTCATTATTTTAATTGGATGTTAATAATTCTTTACTATATATGGACTTAATTGAAGATTTGTATATGTCTTTGCCTTAAGGATATCATACAAAGGCTGATTCTCATGTGTGTGTGTGTAAGCTTAATAAGTCTCCTTACAGGTTGAAACAAGCTCCTAGACTGTGGAATGAAAAGTTATGTTCTGCTCATTTTTCTTATGGTTTTCGTCAAAGTATGAATAGATATTCTTTATTTGTTAAGTCTGAAAGTAATGTTATTATTGTTTTACTTGTTTACATGGATGATATAATTTTAACTGGGAACAATAATGATGAATTGGAAAAGGTGAAATTGTTTCTGAAAACAAAATTTTAATTAAGGATTTAGGAAAATTGAAATATTTTCTTGGAATAAAAATGGTTGACATTGATCATATAGTTTGTCTTAATCAAAGAAAATATTAACTTTAATTGTTACATGAGTTTGGAATGCTTGGTTGTAAACCAACTAAAACTCCTCTTGAAGTTAATTTTGTTCCTTCTCGTATATTTGATAATCATAAAGATGATTTGTTAGAATTAAAAATTTTCAAAAGTTAATAGGTAAGTTGATTTATCTTACTATTGCTCTTCCTGTCTTACTCTGTTCAGATCCGTAGTCAGTTTATGCACAAACCTCGTAATTCACATTTAGACATTACTTTTAGAGTTATATGGTATCTGAAAAGTAATCTTGGTAGAGGAATTTCAATAACAAAGTCGTCTAATTTTAGTCTTGTTGGGTATGTGGATGCTAACCGGGTTACATGCCTAGTCTCTAGAAGGTCTGTTAATGGATATTTTGTGAGTCTAGGTAATTGTTTAGTTTCTTGGAAGAGCAAAAAGCAATCCACTGTGTCTCGGTCTTTGACCACGTCTGAATATCGTGCTCTAGTGTCAATAACATCTGAGGTTATGTGGATTTTAAAATTTTTGTTTGATTTAAAGTTAAAAAAATTTCTTCCAGTTAATGTCTTTGTGTTAATGATTCTGCAATCAAATTAGCCTAAAATCCTGTATTTCATGAAAAAACAAAACATTTTGAGGTTATTTTACATTTTGTTAGAGAAAATATTTCGAGTGGTATACCGAGAATTGTAAAAATTGACTCTTCAAACCAAAATGCATATATTTTAACTAAATCCTTGGTTAGTTCACCACATGATTTTTTTGGTTAATAAAATTGGCTTAATTGATCATTTCTCAACTTAATTTTTGAAGTGTTAAGTTTGTGGGGGGTAGTGGTTGTGTTGAAATATTCACTTGTTGTCTTGAAACTTAACACTTTTTGGATCTTGTGGGGTTGTTGTGTAAATATATTTGGAGGTGTTTTGTTGTTTTTTTTATCTTTGCAAGGTATTTTCTGTAACAATGTTGGTTCTTGTGGACCGCGGATTAAATTGGTGTGCTATGGTCAGGTCAACGCGTAGATGTTGCTAGTCGGGTCTACCTGATGTATATATTCCTTGCATCTGGTTTGTGGAGAATGTAAGATGGCTCATTTTTCACACACATTAGTTTTGAGAGTTGTTTTCTCTCTCGAGGAATAAGGGTTTTCTCCAGTTTTTTAGGGTTTCATATAGATTTTTATGTTCAGAGCTTTTCTTTCTAATTTTATGTATTGTTCGTCCTTCTTGAGTGTAGTTTATGTTGAGAGTAGTATATGAATTATGTAGTGAGGTTTTTTTTGTAAGTTCATGAAACCAATCTGGTTCTTATCATTCAGTAAAAGAAGTGATTATGTTGGGATGTTTTTGTATACTTTCAGAGCAGGGCCGGTCCAATGGTTTTTACTATCCGGGGTGAGAAACGATTTTATGCCCTTATATTTGTACCAAACGTTTGACAAGGCCTATAAATAAACAAAATAAAAAAAAAACAATAATTTTATATTAAAACAAATAATACAAACAAAAACATACAAAAGTCACAATAGACAATGTCTTGTGTAATTTTGAAGCATAAACATGTCTATTTTACAATAATCAACATTTTGCAAAAAATCACTTTGGATACTTAAACATGCTAATCCATTCAATCTTCTTGAGTCATGGGCAATTCGGAGACACGATTTCCAGAGCTTTAATTTTAAAATACTTTTGAGATACAACATTACTTTTTAAGCTAAAAGGTCTTTTGTGTTTGCGACTTTTTGTTTCCAATTTCATGACTTAAAGAGATCTGAAACATAAATCATATAATCAGAAATTGAAATCTATTCTATCTAATAGAAACAATAAAATAAATTTATACCTCCTGCTCCACTAAATGTTCTGATATTTAAAATAAACAAAAGTCAGAATTCAGAAATATGCCTCCCGGTTCACATCACAGCAACAAAAACATAAAAGTTTAGAAAGGATCTTCAGAAATTTGTATCAGAAGCAAACACAGATGACAAATGGTAAGAAATTTTACATGAAGACTAAAACAAATCACAGATATCAGCAGATTTCAAGCTCAAAGAGAGGAGAAATTTTACTTGAAGAGACCTTGTACTTCAATAGACAACAAAAACAATATTATTTCAAAGCAAATAACAAAAACGCTAAACATAGATCATATCATAATTTAGAATGCCAACAAGGAAAGGAGATCAGAATAAAAGAAGTTGAACTCACCCAAATCATATTCACACCTAAATCATAATCATTGTAATAGAATCACTATAATAGGAACCTAGAAGGCTTAAACCACAATCTTTAACCACCAAACAAGATTAGAGAAATCTAAAATCACAAACTAGAACTTGAAAAAAAAAAAATTGGAGTATTTAGAAACCAAAAATCAGAGAAATTGAGATATGTAATCAGTTATAGAATGTAATCAGTGATAACTAAGAAATTGGGAATTGAGAGCTATGCATTATCGAGTGAAAGTGAGAATTAAATCCTTCTAACTTTTATTTATCAGAGACGCGATGTGATTCTAAGCATCCAATCGCCAACAACCTACCTATTTCAGAGTGCCAACAACAGACGTTTCAATTTTCCATGTGCAATTGAAGAAACGATAGATGGTTGTTTGGTGCCTAACTTTTCATTGCCCTGCCTGCTTTCTCTTCTCCCAAATCAGATCAAACGAAACATAGGGATAATTTGTTTGAGCCATATACTATATGTATAGCAGATTTATTTTATACCCCTAAAAATTTGATGCCCTGGGCCTAAGTCCAAGTCGCCCGGGTATTAGGCCGACACTGTTTCTAAGAGTAAGATTTACACCTCGTTTTTTCTTTGTTTTTTCGACAAAACAATTTTTAATGCTAAAAAGGAGACAAATTCTACTAGTGTCTTTAAAATAAACCAATCTATGACTCTATAACTATATCCATTGGATGATTAGTTCCAGTATATATCACAACAAAATTCAAATCTCAAATGTAGTTGTATCCGCCCTTGCCATTCTTCCAATATTTATGTATTTTCCAGTGAGAAAGATGTCATCATACTTAATTTCACAAGCAAGTATAAACTATTAAGTAAGATAAATCACATTACAAACAAAAACCATTCAAGTAAACCACAACAATACATTGGTAAAAAAAATATATTAACACGTCGTTCATGAAAATAATTCTTGGAAAAATAACATACAAATATTAAAAAATTACATTTTCCAATCACAAAACAAATCATTAATTACTAGTCAAGTTGTCATTAAGAAACAATCCACGAGATATGGATTGAATTCTTCAACGTAATTAATGAGAAGCATCCCACAACATACGGATTGATTTCCTAATAACATAAAACAAACAACCTAATTTAATCCAAACTAGTCTTCTACGCCAATGTTCTTTCGGTATACAATTGTATAATCATAAATCTTCTGTGGATCCGGAAGACTCTTGGAAACACTCTCCCTTTTCATGCATCTTGTAGCCCAAGCAAACAACTTTGGACTGTCGATCTTAAGACTGAAGCCCCCAAGACTCTCATATGTAAAGAAATGGTTGTAGTAAGACATCAATGCAATATCAACATAACCAAAGGCATTACCCAAAAAATAAGGTTTATCCCCAAGCTCCCCTTCTAACACATTGAGGTACCCCAAGCATTCATGCCTTGCTTTTTCCATCTCTTCACCTTTTGGGCCCGAATTGAATTTCATCGCAACGGTATATATAACCTATCAAATATCAATGTTCACAAAGTATGTATAAGCGTTATGCTTTAGACAATCTCAACCTATAACACATTTTTTACATTAAAAACAATAAAATAGACAATGCAAAGAAATGATTATTTCATCTATGATGTGTTGAATCGTTTTTACATCAAAAATATATGTCAACTATATTCTCTTTTCGTAACTTATATAGTTTTTTCATAACGATCCTTCTATTACCTTTTTAGAAATGTGTTATTTTTCTTTTTCAGTTACTATAACGTTATAAATTAATATTACATCATTATAACAAAACAAATTATTTGTGGCAAGATATTAAAGAAGACAAATATACATATCATACCTTATCAATATAGTCAGCCCAAAACCTGGCTTGAGATCTGAGATAAGGATCTGAAGGCAACAATGGTGATTCACCCTTCCACGACTCATCAATGTACTCGACTATGATTTTGGATTCACATACAGATCTTCCCTTGTGAATCAAAACTGGGATTTTTTTATGAATCGGGTTGCACTTGAGAAGAAGAGGGCTTTTGTTGTGTAGGAAGACTTCTTCTTTGTACTCGTACTTGACACCCTTTTCAGCCAAAGCAATTTTAACCCTTGCACCAAACATGCTTAGTGGCCACCCCAACAACACTACCTCAGATTCTCCCATCGATCTCATTGATTTCTTCACATTCAAATTAGAAAAGAGAACCAATGTATAACCAAAATCAAGATATGGACAAAGGATATATAGGAAATTATTGAAGTGTGATTGCACAAAGGACAAAGCACAGTTTGTAGCCCTCTCTAATTAAAAACAACCTGATTTTGTCCCCTTTATAAAGTTTTATATCTATTAAAAAAACGAGATTTTGGAGGGACTTGGGTATGATGCAAGTTCATCTTAAACTAAATTTTAGGATGACCTGGATATGATAAGTTCGCAATTTAATAAATTATCTAATAAAAAAAGACAAAACTTCAAAAATGGTCCCTGTGGTTTTCAAAAATATCAAGTTTAGTTCCTAAGTTCAAAAAACTTCACAGATGGTCTCTGTGGTTTCAAAACTTTTAACAAATGGTCCTTTTCGCTAACTCCGTTAGCATTTGGCCGTTAAGTGAAGGGTATTTCCGTCATTTCAAAAAAGAGGGACTATTTATGAAGTTTTTTGTTAATTAAAAAAATATAATAATTTAATAAAGGGTCCCACCTCTCTCTCTCTCTCTCTCTCTCTCTCTCTCTCTCTCTCTCTCTCTATAACTGATGGAACAAAAAAACCCAACACCCTCCTATGCCTTCACCCTTTTACTTGTTGACCAGCCAAAGGCCAAGCCTTCTCTTCTTCATCTTGGTGGTACCAACTCGAGTATAAACAACACCACCACCACTCTCCCTCCCTCTAACTTCTTCCCTCCTGAGGACAACCCAAACCTCCAACACCACTGAGAAACCTTCATCACCACCTGCCATCTTCCTTGCCCCATTCTCTCTGAGTTTACACCGATAAAACACAATGGAGAGGCAGCGGAGCTGCCACAACACGCCACCCATCACCGCCACTCGCTGCTCCGCCATCCGATGACATCATATTTGCTGCAGGTGTGACTTTTCCAACCACCACCTTATACCCCTTCCTCTCGTTTCTTCTTACAACCTCGTGTCTGTCTCCCTATCCAGGTTCCATACATTTTTGAGGTTTGAAAAGGATTGTTTATACTAGGGGCAAATCAAAGATGTAGATGGGGATTACCGAAGTAGAGAGGGGAGTAAGGGTGGAGAGGGCTATTTACCTTGTCTTGGACCTGCAAGTCGAGAAAGATACGAGAGGAACAAAGAGAAAATGGTTGCAATCGACCCAGCACACGCTTTTGAAGCCACAACATCTGCGTTTTATGTATTTGGTTTAGCCGGCGACATCAGAATGGAATTGGCAAAAGGTTCGGCATCACCAAAAGTGCATCTCCATAGCCTCGATCAAGACACTATTCTTGAAGAATTGTGATGTGTGGGTTTTTTTATACAGCAGAGAGAGAAAGAGAGACGAGAGAGAGAGAGAGAGAGAGGGTGGGACCCTTTTAAATTTCATTTTTTTTCCTTTTTTTTCAAAAAAAAAAAATAGAAAACCTCATAAATGGTCCCTGGGTATTAAAATAACGAAAATGTCCCTCACTTAACGGTAGAAAACTGACGGTGTTAAACGGAAGACTAAACATTAAAAGTTTTGAAACCACATGGACCATCTGTGAGGTTTTTTGAACTTTGAGACTAAACTTGATATTTTCGAAAACCACAGGCACCATTTTTGATGTTTTGTCATAAAAAAAGACAAAATTGCAAAAATGGTCATTGTGGTTGGCAAAATTCTATAGTTTTGGTCCAAAACGAAATGTTGGTGCATCACTGGTCTAATTTTAGATACCTTGTGTGGTTTTGGTCCCTATGGTTGTATTTTCTTGTGTTTTTAGTCCACATCCCACCTAAAATGACTAATATGGCCCTTAAATAATTATATTAATTTCTTTTGTTTATTTTCTTATTCTTATAATAAAATGAAAAACAAAATCAAAATAACCTTACCTCTCTCTCTCTTTACCGTCTGCTTCCTTTCATCTTCATCAGATAGATCAAACGGGAATATGAGGCAAAAAAAGTACATTCATCCCTAAACTATTGTCACACCCCAAAACCAAGAATGGCGGAAACGTTCTGGGGCGGAGGACGTCATGTAAAGTATCACAACACAGTAAATGTAAATAAGAAAACAACATCATCCATTGCATTAAATATAAAATTTTAATACAAGCGTGTTCCGTACAGTTTTAGACACCAAAAATATAATTTAAATCAAAATAGTATGATGAGTCTTGAATACGCTCCATCTTCTCAAAAGCTAGCATCGGTACCTGACTACTGATGACCTGAGAATACAAGTTATTTTGAAAGAGTTTATCAGCATTAAGCTGGTGAATTCATAAGTATTTTAGTGTCGAGGTTTGTTATCAAAACGTTTGAACCTGTCGCAAGTATGAGTTGTAAATGTATGTAAGTGTTTGTAAAAGTTTGAATCTCTCAGAAAAACCTATATTTTCTGTTAAAGTAGCCCTCTACCAAGGCTTAACTGTTTTGTATGCTCGTTTGATGTAAAAGTGTGTAATTTCCCAAGTGTAACTATCATTTAACAAAATATAGTTTGTACATTAAAGTTTAAGTGAGGTTATCACCAAAATGTAATGGGTAAATTATTGTAGTACGGTAGTTTTGTTTTATATGAACTACTGCTGTACTAACTACCTTAAACCGGGTTTATATTAAGGTATCATGTGATAAATTGCACCATACTATCGACTGGTAACATCGACAACGTATAGTCGAAAAATAAGGTATGACGTTTGGCACCCGCAGACCTGTCGGTCCCACTGTAGCTAGCAGCGAGGTGTAGGATAGTCAATCCAGTATAGATCTATACGCAAACTCACGCTCTCCCTCCAAGAGACTCTGGCTACAACTCGGGTCATGACAATTAAGACATGCTCCCATACAGTGGATCACAATTGTTAACGTATTCGTGTATATGCAATATAATGTTACTTGTTCTAGTATCGTTGTATATGTTCTCTTAGTAATAAGTATTGACTCCTGAATGAACTGACTCGTTGATCTAGAAATTGTAGTAGTATGATCCTGTGTTACCCCGATGGTAACTTACTAATGATGTGCTGATAAGTATGAATATGGAAGTACTTTTATGTCAATACATGTATATATGATATATAACTAATATTGAAACGACCCTCGGATGGTCACCCGAAATTCCACCAGACCACATCCAAATCGAGGAAAAGGAAATAGGACAGGTGGCTTTCCTAAGCCCTTTAAACATTATTTATACAGCTATACATATATGGGCATGCAAATTTATAGGTAGTAAAACAAAGTTTACAATAAAGCATTTGATAAGTAAAAGAGTTTGTAAAACATTTTGAAGTAAAACAGTTTGAACAGTGATAAAATCATTGGTTTCCTAGTTATTAATCACATGTGATTAATGCAATCACATGTGATCGAAGCAATAACTATAAGTGTTTAACTTGTATTCCCCCCCCCCCATAAAGTATTTAAAACATTTAAAAGCATTTCAAAGGTTGAATAAAGGGGTATGAACTCACTTGGAAGTTTGAAGATAGCGAGATCGAAAACCGGGCAGAGTTTCGTCTCGGGAAACGGATTTTTCTCGGGATTCTCGGGAATCTCGGGAGTAAAATCGACCCTCGGGACTTGAGCAAAAAGACCAGAGCTTCGGGTTTGAACGGCACGGAAATCGAGGCAAGATCGTGAGAGAAAGAGAGAAAATGAACAAATTTTTCGGAAAGGCTCGCATCCCTTTTATAGGGGTGCTGAACCGCCTCCGAACGCGAGGCGTACGGGCGTACGCAGCGCGTACCCGTACGTCATCGCTTACGTATTTCGGATGGGGCGGGTCGGATGGGACGGCGGGTCGGGTAGCTTCGCATAGGGCGACGTGGACGATCCGAGGCCGTGCCCTCGAGTACGCGGGGCATACGAGGGTACGTGGCGCGTACCTCGGCCCTAGGCTGACTCCTCTTCGGATAATACCGAATTTTTAATAAATTATTATATATAAATTATTTATCAAACTTCAAAAATTCATATCTCCTTCATACGAACTCCGTTTTCGACGTTCTTTATATCCCCGCGAAGGTGAGACTACGATCTACAACTTTCGTTTAGATTCCGTTGGCAAATTCCGAAATTATTTTTATTATTTATTTATTAAAATGACGTGATTAAGGAATTTCTTTAAAAATTCATAACTTCTTTATCTGACGTCGATTTTTGCCAGACTTTTTACCGTTGAAATACCATTGTCGAGACCTTCGATTCTCGTTTAGGTCATTTCGGCCAAATTTTGCTCGATCTCCGTTTCGAGTTTTTAGATGTCTGTTGCTAAGCTGAACTTGGAAAAATCATAACTTTAATATACGAAGTCGGATTTGGGCGTTCTTTTTACGTACGATCATGGTTTAATGATATTTACATAGAAGAATTTAAATAGAAACTTTTTGGACATTTTATTATCAAAGTTAATTTTATTAACTCAAAAATGTTTACAATACTTGACCTATTAGGCCATTACAAAGAGTTGAAATATCGGGTTGTCACAACTATACAGTGGACACAAGAACCCACCATTAATCAACCAGATTTGTTACCAATCGTGATTTGCAGGTTTGAGATTCAACAAAATCAAGACTCGTCGTTGGGTCTCTTGGTCTCAGCCTGTTCCTTCGTACTATGTCATGAACCACCAGCTGTAGTGGTGCTTCGGTGAACCATCGAGATAGCAGCCTCACCTCTCGCACATCTCTTCTTCTCCCGTCAAAGCAAACGCCACCAAACCACTTGCGACGTCGTGCTTCTCATCTGAACTCTTTTCTGGCCTCCTTGCCTTCGAAACCCCTAGCCATTGCTGCCGTCACTTCATCCTCCGCTCCAGATGACTAAAACACCAAGAGGCAGCGATTTCTCTTCCCGATGAACGATAAGGGGCGACGGCCTCTTGTTATGCTTGCCCCTACTTGCAAATTCGGCCACTGGACCATCCATCGACCTTTGGGCTGTTCCAATTCGTATTTCGTTTTCTCCATCGAACAAGGATCGTCATAATTTTGTGTATTTTGTGTATTTTGTGTGTGTGTGTTTAAGAAGATGAAGTTAAAGAACCCAGATGAAGATTTAGTTAGAGAGAGAGAGAGAGAGAGAGAGAGAGAGAGAGACGAGATGGTGGTGGTTTTTTTTATTTTGAATAAAAACATAATAATAAATTTAAAAACAAATTATAAGGGCATAATGGTATTTTTTAAGTAGATAGGGACCAAAAACAATAGAAATATCCAATTTTAGATCAATGGTGCACCAACATTTCGTTTTGAACCAAAACTACATAATTTTACTAACCACAGGGACCATTTTTGCAATTTTGTGTAAAAAGTTATATCTATATCTCTATTATATCCAAGAAAGTTCAACAAACCCACATGAATATCGTTGTTGGGAGTTATTTGATTCTTTAAGAGCCATCGAAGTGAATTCATCAAACATCTAGCGAGAGAAGTGATCTTTGGGAAGAAGAAGATATGGGCTATTCAGTACTCGAAAATCTTGATTTACCGACAGAAGAATTCATAGGTAATGGCCTTTCCCGACAGATTTCCGACTGAATTCAGCCATACCTTTTTTTACTCGTGGGAAATTTTTACCGATGTATTTCTAACGACACTTTTAGTGACGGCATACCGACAGAATTGCTACAAATTAATGATGGAAGTACGTTTGACTTTTTTTGTCCAAAATATTGAAAAAACCCATTACATTAACCATATAATAATACTGAAATTCAACCACAACACTAATAACATTACAATAAAACTGTCTCATAAAAAAAAACATAGTCTGATACGTTAAAAAGGTGTCATTAAAAAGCTATCATATACATTACTAATGAACAATGTCTAATAATACATTAAAAGAGT